ATTTTAGACATATTCTACTGTCACAGGATTGTACTAAGAGATTTGATATGACCTTTCATTAGTGGCACATCCAGTGAAATATTTTCCGGTCTGAAGAGGTCTTTCTTCATACATGGTATTACAATCAGCATAGATTATGTCTTTATATTTAAGCGTAGAAAGTAAGAACTATGGCTACTGCATCAGAACTAGAGCCTGGACTATTTGCAGAGCTGAAGATGTTGTGAGGAAAGGGGTGTGGGAGGAGAGCTCAAACCATGAAAGACAATGGTCTGCAGATGGGTGGAAACAGAGCATTAAGCTAGGACAAGCACATTTTAAGGGAATGCAAGAATGAGAAACCAGTGAAAAAGATTAAGCTGAGTGACAGGAAAAAGGAACAAAGACGTATAGTGTTTTAAACATGCTAGTGTGGCTTTCCCATCCATCCATCCATTTTCTAACCACTTTATCCAGTACAGGGTCACAGGGAATCCGAGGCCTATCCCAGAAAGCAACAAGCACAAGGCAGGATACTCCCTAGATGGAATTCCATTTCATCACCGGGCTCACAGACACTCTCATACCAGGGTGAGTGTCCACAAAAGTCAATTAATCTACCCGTATGTCTATGACTGTGGTAGGAAACCGGAGAACGCAGTGTGGAAACCCACACAAGCTTTGTGCTTGGAAGCTGCAATGCTAAAAAGTGCACCACCATGACACCCATACAATTTTTTCACCAGTGAAATTTAATAAACTGTTTTTGCTTTGTTATTTCCATTAATAAAGCAACATCAGTAGTAGGTCCATGCACTACTTGGATATACAGATATCTGCTTCCTTTCTTGTTTCCTCCTTTCAATTCCTTGTCCACCCTCAACACAAGTGGGAACACTGTGTATGCGTTTCCTCTAACATTCCATCACTGAAGCAGCAATAAGCACTGTCACTTTGCCAATAATAAGAAGGAAAAGAATAATAATACTTAAAGATAGGGCAAACGAGATATGTTGAAAGGTGATCCTCACATAGGGAAGAAGAAAGCCTCAAGAGGTTTGAGCTGTGAGTGGAAAGGACATACAGTACACCACACCTGCAAAGCCTAAACGTAACTGGAAACTGCCTGTCACATTCACACGCACACTTGCTGAAAAAATACAGTCATACCAGACTAGTATTATTATTATTTAATAACAACAATAATGGTGCTAAGTATGTTTTCTTGTTTTCCTAATTACTTGTTAATAGAAAATGTAACCTGAGAAAAACTGACTCATAAAACACATCTTATGTTTTGCCGAGAGTGGAAAAAAAAACTTAGTAAGCCTTATTATAATGCAACAAAATATTAATGGGAGCCATTCTGCTGCTCTGACAAACATATGAAAAATATGTAAGTGAAAAAATACATCTCTAATGGCACTTTATTGTAATGTTACAATTTTCTGTCAAGGTAAGTGACTTTTACAAAGTATCTAATGAAATACAGTTGTGGTAAACACCATTACCAACAAGATAAAGGTGACAGTACATTTTATGCATAAACATGACCATATAGGCATAGGGAAATAAATAATAAACACTTTGTTTTTATTCAACCGTTTTTACTTTTAATGAAGAATCAGTCATCATTAATCAGGAACCTATACTCTATTGTTTATTTAGTAAAGCTTTTTAGTAAAGCCTTTGGAATTCCATGGTAAAATAATGTACACTCATTAATTTAGCTATGTCCAGCAGTATAATTTATGTCTATCCATTCATTATCAGAAAGCCACTATTCACATGGAGGGTGTGCAGTTACTGGAAGCAAAGCACACAAGGTGGGTCTGAGAGCACACAATTGTTTTCACCCTGGATCTTTTGCATGACAAAGGAAGAACAGACAATTTAGATCAGCCCAAAACTTCTCACCAACATATCTGTGAATGGCAGGAGGAAACCCAGAGGGAAAATCACACAAACATGGGGAGACCATGTAAACTCCACATATAACATACCCTAGTCTGAGGCAGCAGAGCTAACAAATGTTACTGTGTTGACCATATGCACACATTATCCTAAAGCAGTATGTAAGCTTTTAAATAAAAATTTAAATCACAGGTACGACTAACATATCTAACTGTTTGACTTGATAAATGAAAGCCCTGTTGGTTTCTGGCCAGTCATAAAAACCCCTGTACAGAAAATCAGAAATTACTTACTGTATGTCTCATTATCTTTAGTTGTAAATCACAACTGTAGGGATCTAACATAGAGTAATATACTGTAGATCCTGACCTGTTATTCTAATGCTTTAATTATCTCTCTGACAGTCTGACTCACCCTAACATAACTTTAATATTATTGTAAGTTCAATAACATCTGAGGAAGTTTAAAAGCAAACATTGAAAATAAAGGAATAAAATGTTTAACAAACAGTTTTTGTCAGTTTACTAAAGCCTCGTGTATTTCTATTGATCTGGCTTCTACTTGTGCATTGTTATAAAGTACAATTCACCTTACTCAGGTAAGATATTATGATATCATAAGATATTATGATTGTGAACAATCTTTGTGAGAATGCCTCTTTCGACTACCTGGATACACAAATTGTGAACAGAAAGAGAATGTAAATCTGCAAATTATAATCCCACTGTACAAAACATCTTGGACAAAGAAACAAACCTCAAGGATTTGTGTGCAGGTTGCACATGTGCTTACTGCTGAATATTTGACTGATGGCTCATTTGACATTCATGTACCATGGAAGGAAGTAAGATAGTTTGTCATTAATGAAGACGGCTTCCCTTCAAAATGGGAGTCAAGATTGGCTCAGTAAAGGCTGAAAGAAAGTTAGATGACATTTCGTTGGTTCTTTTGCAAATGTTCTTATGTTAAGAATTACAGCAAAGTTAAAGATCTGCTATTGCAAAAACTGTGACAGCCAATCAGATGCCTTTTCTTATCTTATTTACCTACCCCTATTTTCCTCTTCAGTATGTGAGCTCCCATACATTATATGTTCTCAAAACATTAAAGTAAAAAAGAAGGTAGTAAGTCCTGACAATAAGTTTGTCCACAACTTTAGGAAACACAAGGAAACACAGTTTATCTGAAAATTAAACAGAAAATCACTATGTTTAGTTAATTTTAAAAGTCCAAAACCAACTGAGCTGTGTAATTGGCTTGAACAAATTAAAATGCACAGGGGTGGACTTTAGTTGAGCAGCAATCACCAAGCCTATGTGAAAGTCAATCAAAAGGCAGACAGAGAAAATTAGATTTAAGTTTTAAAAACAGAAAACATGTCTGCAAATTGAATCATGAAGCTAGACATCACAACCTGTCAATATTCCTGACAAGAGGCTAGAAACTAAAGACGTTTTGAGGCAACCAGACATGATAACATAGTGAGATCTTTCTTCTTCCAATATTGGCAGTTTGGACCTTTCTGTTTAAGCATTAAAAATGTAAGAAAAGGTGAACATGAGAAGAGGTCAATCAAAGCGTGGATTTCTTAACTAGTTTGTGGGAGACAGTCTATCCCTAACAAACCCTTTTACTGTACAGATGTTCTTGTAGTTTCAGTACAGTATATGAGATAAGATATACTACAACTGCTTGGTTTGTTTTTGTTCCCCTTAAGACTGGCACTAAATTATTACTTTTCTAAACCATGAATATTACCGTTCTTGAGACTTTTGTTAACAGTGTTAAATATGACGCTGTTTCCCTAAGTAAACATGGAAGAACACCTAGAGATGACTCTTCTTAAGTGCTTCTTATACTTGAAACACCTCCATACTAATACTATTCTGCATAATATTTGTGATATTATGATTCAGATTTAAATTTGTTCACAGCATGTTGTCAATTTCTTTCTTGTAAAACGCCAGAATGCAATATTAATTTATCAACCATTTTAATCTCAATGTTAAAAAATAACTATTATGACCTCTGTATTTGATGTAAGAAATGGAATTTCATTGTTGTAGGATTTTCAGTATTCTAAAGCGTATAAGCGCACGAAACATACATTATAATAGTACTGTATTTATTAAGTTAATATCTGGTTTCCAAACCAAGCAAAAAATGCTTCAATGTTTAAGCATTTTATAGAGGTTGCATTTTTGTTTTTTTTAGATATCCAATAATCTGTTTTTTTTTTTATTTCTGACATTATGCTGATATTATCAGTTATTGTATTGGTTATAGGAAAATTGTTGTCAGTTTCCCACATTTAATTGGAGGCTTTATGTATTCAAAGCATCTCAAAAAGAGACATGAAATACTGTATGTCAATATCTTGATAAGTTACTGGAGTCTACAAGTATTTGAAGTTCTATCAATTCCCATCACTTACTGAATTAATAAAAACATCTCTTCTACAAACTGTTACTTACAATTTGAGATGTACTCAAGACAATGACAATTTCTAATTCTAATTTGCACTACAGAAATAAAATTCAATCAGCATAAACAATTCCAGCAATCCACAACAATACAAACATATTCACTGACACATATCCTATGCATTATAAACAATTTACATCAATAGTCTTCACTGTAACAGTGATGGATGAAGAAACAATAAACTCATTGTGCAAAGGTTTTACACATCCAACAGACACTCACACCAAATGGGCTTGCTTGAATTTATGCACACAAAAACAAAGGTGTACTAATGGAGTAAAATCCATCACATCATGAACAGGGCTTTATGACCAAAAGTTCAGTTTGTTTTGTTCTGAGTTTAATTCTGAGAAAATCTAAGTACAGCAGTTGATAAAAAGTGAATGTGATTCACAAGCACTGTTCGTAAAATGGGCTCATGCCAGACACTGTTTCACACTTTAGCCAAAAAAATAATGTTAAAAAACTCAGCACCGTTAAATGTTTTTCACGTAATTGAGTATTTTTAAAGAATGAAAACAAAAAATGTTGTATTTTACCTTTATGAGAATGGTACTATAAAAACCTATGACTAACACACATTTTATATTTGATTTAGCTATTAAAAAAGGAATTATACATACTGTAAGGAACACACTCATACTGAACTTCAAGGTACTTGTAAGTCCCTGGACAAGGATCTGGAAAGACGTCTGGTCCAGCAACAACTGCACACTGGGTCCGATTATTGCATCTGAAATTTAAAAACAGAAAAATTACTTTCTACATGTACATGCATCCTTAGTTGGTATCCAATCCAATGTTACTGTGCCATTACAAGAAACATAAAGTGTAGTACTGCATCAAAAACTCTCCTTCATACATACAAATGTTTTTTTATTATTATTCCTGTATTTGTAAGGACTTTCCACTGACTCTCCTTGTTTTATCTGCTGTACCCTACTCCTCCAAAATTAAATTTGACATGTTGTGGATGGGGGCTGCCTCACAGAGCTGGGGCCCTGGGTTCAATTCTGGGACTGGGGTGCTTTCTGCGTTGAGTTTGCCTCAGAAAGCCTCCTCAGGGAGGAGAATCCCTGTGTTCACGTAAGTATCCTCTGGGTGCTCCGTTTTCCTTCCACTGGTTTCCTAACCTTCTGATTGGTTAACTGGCTGGTGGGAAAATTGGCCCTGATGAGAGCGTTTGTGTTTTTGTGTGCCCTGTAATGGACTGGTATCCTATCCAGGGTGTACCTGCCTTGTGCCCATTGCTTGCCTGGTACAACCCTGGCTCCCCCGCAATCCTGAATTGGAAGAAGTGGTTAGAAAATGTTTTGGTGGATTTAGTGAATGGAGCCTCAAATTCAATAGTTTTGGCTTATTTATTGGCCATAATCTCATAATGAGTTACTATCTTTCTGTGGACTTCTACTTAAATCCTACCCCCATGTTAACAATAATATTATTATTATTATTATTATTATTCGTATGAGCTTAACATGCAGAAGTTACATAGTTATATTGTCACAGTCAGGTGCCTCAGCCAGTCGCGGCTGGCATCATCCAAATGGGTGAAGTTGCCGGGGCACCTGAAGCGAGGGCAGGAGTATAGGATGTGGTCGGCCGTCTGCTCCTTGCCATCACCGCATTCGCAAATTGGGTCATCAGTGAGACCCCACTTGTGTAGGGTGGCCCAGAAACGGGGTCAAGAAGAGCTACTTCCTCGTACTGACCCCTGGGCAACGTCTCTGACGGCAAAAAGCTCTTCAAATCGAAGTTACCATGCAATGCTTAATAATAATACATACCCACACACACTGGGCTTAAACCAGTATAAACCATACAAAACAATTTGTTCCATCAACAGAATAATAATGGCCTGCAATTATCTATAATTTATTGCTCAAATGAGATAATTCATATATGCATAGGTTCAGTAGGCACTGGTGGCTATGCTTTAGCAGTTCAATCATCAATTTGACAAGAGGAGGAGGATAAGGAATAAAAAATAACTTATTTAAGAAATGGGTTAAACGTGGTGCAGCCCTGACAAATTTGATGAGAACATAGTCAGTGATGTGAAAAATCAACCTCACTATAAAAGAGTCCACCTCAGATTCACTTATGGAGTAAATGATAATGTTGATCAGCAACACTGCATGCAATTGTATTATTTAGGGTACTGATATTTCTAACAAAACCTAGAAAATATTAAAAGATCAAAAGATTTCTCATCAAATCCATCCATTTTCTAACTGCTTTTTCCAATACAGGATCACAGGGGTTCTGTTCATTTATGGTTGCTTTTTGCTCGTTAATTCCCCTACTTTGCACAACTGTTTCAGTATTTCTGTTCAAAATATTATACTAATGTTAAGGGAAGCAGTGTCAGGTACTCTTTGTGTTGCAGGTACAGTACATATTGTGCAGTTTAAATATACTCAAACAGCCCAGGTACAATAGAGTAAATGTCTTTTGTTTCTTATAAGTGCTTTGTCTTTTGCTGGCAGACCACAATGGATACAGAAAAAAATCAATTCTGACACCACAGAACACTTTTGTTAAGGTTCAAAGCTCTATAGTATCAATATTTTGATGATTAATTATTGATCAATGAAAAATGACTTGATTTTCAGCAGTCATTATGGTCCAAATGAAAAACACAAAGCAAAAATTATTAAACGAACAATCCTGAAAATTGACAACTGACTAAAATTTTCTACATAGACTGTAAGTAGCTGCAATATTTTCTATGGTAAAACAATATAGCTTTGCTATATTATTGTATTATTTGGATTGGAACTACTATGATTTATCTATTTATTTCAGAAAATAATGTAGTCTGATGTTTGTGCTTTAATTTAAACTAATATTTATTTTGTTTGTTATCTGTTACAGTGGTGTGGATTCCTGAAGCTAGGATTTGGTGTACACTACTGATTGTTTTTTTTTTCTTTTTTTTATTTTATTCAATGTATCTGTTTTTGTAACGGATTTAAGATGATTGCTGTAGGAAGACACAGTAAGCTATCCATTGTTGAAGTAAGCGAGCTTCTTGCTGAAAAAATATACTGTAGGTATCATACTGTTAACATCTATTGAAATTAAAGTACAGCAAATGCACATTTACATTTGATTAAATATGAATTTATTACATCACTAACGTGTATAAAAACATTAATTTGGTATAAGTAAATCAGTAATAGATTTTTTTACAATTTACTACAATAAATGACTTCTGTGGCAGCATTTTTTTTAAATAGAAAACTGCTCTAGTCTTACTACAATGACTTTTAACCTTTGCTATTATTGAGGAGATCAACATCAGTAGCCAGCTCTTAAGTAGAAACTGTGAAGAAAAAGTAAAGAAAGAGAATTTCCAAATTACCAGTTCACATGTGATAAATAAGAGATCACAACAAAAAGAAAATTATGGAACAGCAAATACTGTACTGTATATGATAAAAAAAAACTTCTCAAGTTTAAGCTAAGCACAGAATCAGCAGAGTAATTACTTACAAAATAATTTGACTACTTTTTTTTAGATTTTTTCAATGTGGTGAATTGTTTTGAACATACTGTAGCTTAGGGATGCAATTATAGTACATTGTTCCCAAATACTTGAGACTACATTCAGTTTTATTTCTTGTCTATTTTATACTTCTTTACTGTTCTTCACAATAAAAAACAAATGAGCTCATTGGAAATTGACACAGTGATTCATATTGTACAATTAACAGGTTCCTTTACATTTTAATTAACATCGATCCTCTCAGAAATAATCAATTGCATCGTAAGGGAGAGTGAAAGACCTAACTCTTAAACCCATCTCTAATGAGACATGAGGAGAATTACATCAGAATTCAGGTTTTAAAGGATCAAGAAACCCACATTACTCATCTATCCCAAATGCAAACAGACTGACTCTGTCAAACACCTTTTCAGCAGTTGTCAGTTACTGTAAAGTCAATTTTGACCCAGCAGCTACTGCTCAAAGAAACAGAAGCATTACAGAAAATCTCAATTCAGCTGCTTAAATTTCATTATTTTTTGTCCTTGTTTTAATCTATTTTTTTTAACAGAAATAATCAAATATTCCTAACCAACAGAACTGAGGGAACAATACTTGCACCTAGTTCATTTTCTGCATGTTCTACATGACAGCTCATACTTTGAGAGTCTAGACAGGACTGTTATTTTCAATAAGCCAAAAATAATAATTATTAAACATTTCCTCAGATTGCTTTTTCAATGCTGCTCCTGCTATTATATTCAAATGTGAAGCTGAATTGCAAAAGGATAGCAACTCTATTCATAGATATACTGTAAGGTTTCGTTTGGGAACATTGTTTGCACCCTCACAGTTATGATTGGCTGATGAGTCATCCAACGACTCTTCTGACACTGCAGCAATGAAAATATAAGCTCCAGAAATACAAAATAACAATTCAATATTAACCATTTGCTATTTAAAACAGACAATTTGTTACACATTCATCTCTCTGCACAGTCACATAACTAGAGCTGCTTGCAGAGAAGACAGGCACTAAAGCCAAGCTACTCATCGGCAAGTAATGAGGTGGGAAGCACAGCCATCTGGCCATGGGGATAGACTTCAAGGGGGCAATTTAGTGTAGTCAAACCTAATGTGTGTGTCTTTGGGAGATGGGAGAAAAGCAGGGCGCAGTCTAAACTACTAACCAGCTAACTTTAAAAAGTATTCCCTTGCAAAAGTGACTTGTAATAAAAGATTATGGTTTAAAAGTAACTTTCTGCAACACTCAATATAACATCACATTCCTTCTTTAGTTTCATTAAAAAATCTACACTCCTAACTTCAAACTTAATAAAGTTTTAAAAACTCACAACAGTCAAAGGAATTTAAAAAAATCATGCTGTCCATTTTTGCTTACAATTTGCATTGTTTGCAACAAAACACAAAAATGATGAAACACATGGAATAAACAAACACAAAACAATGGTTTATTTTGCATCAGACTATGACTTCATTTGAAGATTGAGAAGACCAGTGGGCCACAAGGATAAAAATAGTTCAGTACTGAACCTAAGAAATGATAAGGCTACAATAGACTAGAAAATCAACCAAGGTGACAACTTACAAAACAAGAAGACATTTGTAAAGTAAACCTTGGGACGTCTCTATCTAGTAGGTTGTATAAAATCTTAAAATGGCGAAGATTCATCAGAAAGGTGACAGATAAGAGAATACCATTCAGCCCATTATGCTCATATATAGGTATGAAATACCCTCAAAATCTCCACCGAAAAGGGTCAGTTTAGAGTCGTAAAATAAAGCAGACCATTTCACAGTTTCTGTTTTTTGCCTATTTAGTCAAAGTTTGCTCCCATGGACAGCTGTTTCATCCTTATTAGACTTCAGCAGAGTCACAGCTATGCTTACTTACTTTATTATTCAATTTGCTTAGCAGGCAGTTAAAATACATAACACAATACACAAAAATTTAACATAACAAGTACCCATTAACAAATAAGAGACAAATATGCGGGATGACAAAAAAATAAATATACAGTATATAAAGTTAATTGTCCAAGGTTAGCCACATCAAAAGGAAGAGTTAGTGTTGTGAAATACCAACAATTCAATATTAGTTGATATGTAATTAATAGTTCATTATATATTGTCATTCAGAGAAACATTATCTATCCACTAACCCTTGCAACAAATTCACGTTAGTATCATTAAAATGAAAAAAAAAAAGTTTTCTTTAAGAG